AAAGTGGGAGAAGGGTATGAACAGACACTTTTCAAAAGAAGACAAATATGTGGCCAGCAAGCATATGAAAAAATGCTCATCATCACTGGCCATTAGAGAAATGCAAATCAAAACAACATTGAGATACCATCTCACTCCAGTTAGAATGGCTATCATTAAAAAATCTGGAGACAACAGATGCTGGAGAGGATGTGGAGAAAAAGGAACACTTTTACACTGTTGGTGGGAGTGTAAATTAGTTCAACCATTGCCGAAGACAGTGTGGCGATTCCTCAAGGATCTAGAAATAGAAATTCCATTTGACCCAGCAATCCCATTACTGGGCCATATATATATATATATATATATATATATATGTGTGTGTGTGTGTGTGTGTGTGTGTGTGTGTACCCAAAGGATTATAAATATATACCCAAAGGTTTATAAATCGTTCTATCATAAAGACACATGCACACGTATGTTAATTGTGGCACTGTTTACGATAGCAAAGACCTGGAACCAACCTAAATGCCCATCCATGATAGACTGGACAAAAAAAATGTGGCACATATACACCATGGAATACTATGCAGCCATAAAAAATGATGAGTTTGTGTCCTTTGTAGAGATATGGATGAACCTAGAAACCATCATTCTCAGCAAACTGACTCAAGAACAGAAAACCAAACACCACATGTTTTCCCTCATAGGCAGGTGATGAACAATGAGAATACTTGGGCACAGGGAAGGGAACAACACTCACAGAGCTAGGTGAGTGGGTGGGGAGGAGGGGAGGGTGGACTGCTCGGGGGAGGAGGGGGAGGGATAATATCGGCAGAAATGCCTGATGTAGGCAAGGGGGGCGGGGGGGATGGAGACAGCAAATCACCATGGCATGTATGTACTTATGCAACAATCCTGCAGGATGCAGGATGTGCACGTGTACCCCGGAGCCCAAATACAATTAAAAAAAATTTTTTGAATTGCAAAATACCTTAGAGTATTCTAATATCCTCATCTTATTTTATAGATGAAGAAACTGGCAAGCTACATTTATTGATCAATGAATAGCTGGACTATGGTTAAAACACAGATCTCTTGATAACCAGGGGGGAATCCTTTCTCTGGCACTGTCTTAGAGAAAGCTACTAAATTTCACACATGTGCCTAAGCTACAGTAGTTTTTTATTCTTGTGCTCTTAATACTTGAGGGATGTACATATACATTGACATCTGCATTTATAGACATGACCTAAAGAAAAGAAACATTGATGGCTATCGTAGATTTTATTTCCTTAAATCATGGGTGATATTTGGGATTTGTTTCAGAATTGGGAGGTAGGGACAGATTGAATGGATGAGAGTGTATGTGAAACAGAATTAGCCATAAATTGATCATTGTTGAAGCTGGATGTGAAGGAATTCATTATACCATTCTTTCCACTTTTGAAATATTTTTTAAAAGCAGATTGTACTGTTTTAGTCAATAGGTGGCACTGCATTGTCACCTTGAGAATAGGTTGGTTGATACTGGATGAATATTTTTACTTACGATATTTAAGATATTCTAATATTTTATTAAAAGCTTTCTTTTCTCTTTGTGACTAAGAGTTAACAGATTAAATTATAATCTTGTGAAATTATAATAACTAGTTTCTGGCGTTGACAGCTAATAAAGACAGAATTTGAGAAAAATTTTAACATACGAGTTTGTATTACCAGCTTAATGTCATGTATTAAGATTTAGAGTACATATAAAAGCACAATGCAGACATAAAGCTAAAAACCTCAAATTTGTTAGGATGTTGAGTTTTAATACATAGAAAAATGAAATTTCTGCCAACATGTAGTTCTAGTTCAAGGATTGGGAATTACAAGTTAACTTGATTTTTTAATACAATACAACAACAACAAAAAAAGGTACACAAAAATGGTTATAGTAGCTGACAATAAATTTAACAGTAGTTTAATAATCTATTTTTATGTTTTGGGTTGAAGGAAATGTGTGGTAGGAAAAGTGTGTGTGATAGGAACATGCAGGAGCATAAACAGGTGAAACTACTTCAGAGTTTTGTCAGTATCCCACCATCTCATAGTGCTGACTTCTGGTCTACAAAGAAACTACTTTCTCTGGTGCATTATGCATAATAGTAAGCAGCAGAACAGGTCTTCATTGTGAATCAAGACCCATTTCTCCTAATATATAGTCTGAGTATAATCATCTTTTTAACCCGAGTGGACAAGGTTTGTTTCCTCCTACGTGTGGATTCCCATTTCATGGTATAAAGTATAAAAACTCAACATTTCACCAAGTATGCATCACTGCTGATATTGCAGTGTCAGTCCTGGCTGCTTGTGTCCTAAATGTGAAACTTCAAGCTCTTTGCTTACTTACCGTCTCATTCCAAATCCCAAATATTGGTGTTAGTTTTTTATTTTGGTATAAAATAATTATTTTCTACACAGTTAAA